TGTGATTTTCGAGGCTGGCAGGTCCCAAATCTGCAGGTGGGCCAGCGGGCTGGAGACCGAGAAGAGCTGACGCTGCAGCTTGAGTCTGAAGGCATTCTGGGTGCACAGCTCCCGCCTCCTAGGGGGGCGTCTGTCTGCTTTCTCAACGGCCTTAAGCCGCCCGGATGCGGCCCACCCCCATTCTGGAGGGTGGTCTTCACTGATGAAGCCTGGAACACGACAGGGACGAGGTAACGTGCTCAGTGAAGGAAAGAGTGAGAGAGTGAAGCCACAGAGGAAGGAGTCTACCCTAAAGGAGCCTTTACTGGGGGTGAGGACCGGCAAGGCGGGGGCGGTCACAGCACCAGGCCTGGACGGTGGCATGGAGGCCTTCCAGCTGGCCTTCCAGCACTGAGCCCCCTTCACCTGCGCTGCGCTGACCTCCTGGACCTTCTTCATACGATGCTGCCTGTTCCTGGAGGCAGGGCTGCAAGGAGGGGCCCTCGTGGAGGAGCTTCCTGGACCCTGTGCCCTGCGGGACCGCCTGCTCGTGTCTGACTCTGTGCGACCCCGTGGACTGTGGCCCGCCAGGCTCCTCCGTCCGTGAGATTCTCCAGGCAAGAACACTGGAGTGGGCTGCCATTCCCTCCTCCGGGACATCTTCCCCACCCGTGGACCGACTGCCTCCCTTAAACGTCGCCTGCATTGTCCGGCAGTTCTTGACCACTGGCGCCACCTGCAGGTGGCTCTTGCATTCCAGGCACGGAGCAAGAGCCCCAACATCATTTCTCGGGTGGTTCTCCCAGCAACCCATCAGGCTGGCCCAGTGACTTCCCCACTTCACAGACAGGGCAACTGAGGCTCAGAGCCTTGCCTGGGGCACCAGCTACAAAGAGACTGAGCTGGAGTCAGGACTCCGCCTCCGCGACCTGGATCGTTCCTACCGCGGTCCCACACTGGGGGCCTCCTGGCGCTCCGGGGTCCTGGCTTCCCTGGGGGCCACACCCTCCTGGCCTTGAGCTTCCTGTGAAATCGGGGGTCAGAGCCACGCCTCTGCCTGGGGCTGGCAGTGACCGCTGGGGAATGGCCACCAGCCCCGGGCACTGAGGGCTCTCCCAGTACCCGGACCAGCCCATCCCCACCAGAGAACGAGGTTCCCTCTCTGGGCACCAGGACCAACAGCTCAGGGAACAGCAGAGCCCGGAGGTCCCTCCTGTAGCATCTGGATGCAGCTTGAATGTCAGGTGCATTCACCTGTTAGACCCCCCGAGGGGTCTAACAGTCACTGGGGTCAAATCCTCCCTAGGTCATTCTGCAGGGCACACGGGGGAAAGTCTCNGAGGGTTGAGAGGCAGTTCCCGTTATTAGGGAGCCTTCTGGGCGCTCAGTGATTTCACCCCACCTTGGAAATGAACAGCGGCCCCATCACTCAAGGTCATTCAGCTCTAAGTGACCAAGGCCGGCTGTGATGGGCCGTTGCTCTTCACCTCCACCGAGCCCGCGCTGACCATCAGAGGCCTCGTCCTGTGTTGGACTCCCCCAGCCAGGCCACCGCCTGAGACCAAGCACTGTGAGTGCCTTCATCTCTCAACCTTTATCCCCTCAAAGCCTTCCAAGGTCAGAGTCACTGACTCCATCCTCAGTGGAGGAAACTGAGGCTCTGGGAGTCGCCACAGGAGCTGGCCTGTCGCAGGGCCGGGACGTGGTCCTGCTATAGGTTGGAATCCAGGCCATTCTGACCCCCAGATCGGTTCCAGCACAGAGCCTTGGAGATGGCTCTGAACCAGGTTGGTGGCGAGTCTGTCATTTGGGGGGGGAGGGGAGGGGGTGCTGCAGGCAGCGGGCTCTGAGCGGGGGCTTGGAAGGGTCCCCGGGGGAGGAAGGCAGCGGGGAGGCTGGGGTGGGGCGAGGGGTGCTCCCCGAGGAGGGAGGGTGGACCAGACCGCACAGGGCTCTGAGTGTGGGGGGCCAGGGGTCGGAGGTCACCGCAGGTTGTGTGGGGGACAGGACATGAGGCGCTGTTCTGTCAGATCCGCAGCACCCTAGATTGGAGGGAGCATGGAGGCCACATTAACTATGCCCCCCAAGCATGGGTCTCCGATAACCTGCCAGGAGGAGGAGGCCGCCTCAGTTTCCCCCTGTGCACAGTGGGGGCTTGGTGGTCGTCTGCCTCATCTCAGGGTGGGGCCCGCTGCCCGGAGGGTCCGCAGGTGGCCTCTCGTCAAGGCGGCCATTCAGCAGAGGTCTGTACCCAGGGACGTGTGAGTGAGGGGGCTGAGGCATCGCCCTCCCAGTCGGCGCGAAGCTCTTGTCCGTGTTGTGTTCTCACGTCCAGGCTGACATGGATGATGCAGCGTCGTCCACCTGCCGGATGGAGAGCCTCAGCGAGGGGCTGGGCTGCGGTCCCCGAGACCCAGCGCTCGTGTGCCCGGGGCTCCACGGATGTGCGGGCAGCTGGAGGCCCCGCGGAGGCCCGAGGTCCCGGGGGATGACGGGGTCAACTCCCAGAACCCACGGATGGCGAGGGCAGCAGATGCCCTGGACTCTGCAGGGCGCCCCATGCACTGGGGGCCTCTTGGCCACTTCTGTGGTGTAGAGGGGGAGACTGGTCGCTGGAAGGAAGAGCTGGGAAGAGCTGTTTGGGGAAGGGGGTGGCATATTCACCTTGTTTTCCTGGACATCAGGGGACTCGGGGCCACAGCTCCCATTGTCGTGACACGCTGCAGGGTGGAGGAGCTGGCACGTGCTCACGCAGAGCAGGCAGCGTCCCCACCGCTGAGGTCTGTGCCTGCCTGAGCTGGGCCCGGCCGGGGGTGGGAGCTGTCCCTGGTCCTGGAGTCTGTGCTGGGGGGACCTGGTGACTGATGGAGGGGCCAGCTCCGCGGTGGTCACACCCGCTGGGTGAGTGGTGCTCTCGGGTGTCCATGGCACATCCAGGGACCGTGTGACCTGCACCCGGGAAGCTGCGGGGGAGGTGCACAGAGGACAGGGCCTGGGTGGTGGACAGGGTGCCGTGCTGGTGGGCAGCGCTCCTCGGGAAGTCAGCTGGAGCTGGCCTGGTGGGCGGGCTCCAGGGCTGGGCCGGCTCTGCCTCTGGCAGCTGTGCCCAAAGTGATGCCCGAGCCAGTGGAGATAGGCGTGGCTTAGCTCTGGACCGGCAGCCAGAGCGCGCTCTGACCCTGGAGCCGGTCCAAAGGTGAGAAGGTGCTCGAGGCTGTGACTGGGCCTCCGGAGGTCAGGTCCGCCTGTTGAGCAGCAGGTGTCATCTTGGCAGCAGAAGTTCAAGGTGAGCGCGCTCGGGTGGTCTGGACCGTCTTTTTGGGAACAGGGTGCCCCGCTGGCCTTGGTCTCTTCAGTCTGTACAGCTAGGCTTCCCAGCTGGGTGTAGACCCTGGCAGGGTCCCCTGTGACTGACCAGTGCAGGGGGCGATGAGAAGGTGCTGCTGGCAACCTTGAGCCCTTTCGGCTTCATGTGGGGGAGGGTTGAGCTGGCTCCATGCCTGACCTCAGCCCTCTGGTGAAGGTCAGCATCTCCAGGACAAAGTCATGGTGGGCGGTGGGGCCAGTGGCCCTGAACGCAGTGGTGTTGTCAGAGGTCTTCGCCTCTGGTGGGGCGGGGCAGAGGAGGGTCCGCCGCGCTCCGGAGGGGGCCGCAGGCCGGGGCGAGGGGCGTGCAGGGAGACCGGGAGCGGGTTCAGCTGCACCACTTGCAGGATCTTAGTTCCCTGAGAAGGGACTGAACCTGGGCCCTTGGCAGTGAAAGCCTGAGTCCTAACCCCTGGACCACCAGGGAGTTCCCCCGGGCCTTTTACTTAAGAGGATGTGAGCCGCTTTGACATGTGGTGACAATTACCAGTTCCAGCTGATTATTTCCTCTTTTCAAATTTATGTGCTTTCGNATAACTGCTTAGTGGGTGCAGAGCTCCTGTTATCATGATGAAGATGCTCTTGAACTAGGGAGTGGTGATGTTACACAGTCCAGAGGATGTAGTTGACAGAGTGCCCCACTTAAAACTGTTGAAAGATGAAATTATATTGAATCTAAAATTTGGAATATTTAATTTTTAAAAATCTATAACATGTAACAGAAATAAGGTGTTCTCACAGGTGAGCTTCCCTTGTGGCTCAGCTGGTAAAGAATCCCCCTGCAATGCAGGAGATCTGGGTTCGATCCCTGGGGTTGGGAAGATCCCCTGGAGAAGGGAACAACTACCCACTCCAGTATTCTGGCCTGGAGAATTCCACGGACTGTATAGTCCATGGGGTCGCAAAGAGTCGGACACGACTGAGCGACTTCCACTTTCACAGGTGAGGTGGAGGAGGTCTCTGGGGTTGCAGCCGGGAGTAGCCGGAGCTTAGGGACAGGTGCTGAGGGTGGACAGATGGCTGGCTCGGCCTGTGGAAGAGGCCTGGGAGCTGGTGCCTCTTACGAGGCTGGAACATGGCTGTGTCAGGCAACCGTGCTGGAGCTGGTTCTAGAATTGGCTCTAGTTCTGAGATTGATTCCAGTTCTGGCGCTGATACCAGATTCAGTGCAAGAACTAGCGACTGAAATGGCTTTAGCTCTGGAGCCAGTCCCTTTGAGCTGGAGCTGGCCCTAGTCTGGAGCTGGTCCCATATCCAGCTCTGGAGCTGGGGCCCGAGCGGGCACTTGTCTATGGATGGGGCATGTCCTAGCACTTCAGGGGGCTCTGCCCTGGAGCTGACTCTAGAGCCCGCTCTAGCTTCACAGCTGGTGCAAGATGTTGTGCTGGAGAGGCCCTGGCTCTGCCCCGCCCCCAGCGGCCGTGGCTGAGATGCTGCTTCCGGGGGTGGGCTCTCCGAGGGCAGGGCTGGGGTGGGCAGGGACCACTCACAGCACAGAAGGCCCGAGTGAACGCTTCCTCATGTGTAACATAACACCTACCTCTTAGGCCTGTGCACTGGTTCAATAGAATTAACTTGCTTGCCTCGTACCAGGCAGTGTTCTAGAGGCCTGGGAACACCAAGGTGAACAAGCCTGGAGCCGACTGGGGCCGGGGTCAGAGGAGTTCAGGGCCCGGGCAGGTGTCCCAGCTCAGGTGGGATCCGCAGGTCCCGCAGGCGTCCCTGTCCAGCCGCTCAGGACCGACCGGGCGGGGGCTGTGGTGGAGGGGATGTGAGGTCTTGGTTGGAGTGCCCGTGCTGCTCATCACCCCCGCATACCTGTTCCCTTCACTGTCCTCAGCCTTGCCCATGGTGCAAGATGTTGTGCTGGAGAGGCCCTGGCTCTGCCCCGCCCCCAGCGGCCGTGGCTGAGATGCTGCCTCCGGGGGTGGGCTCTCCGAGGGCAGGGCTGGGGTGGGCAGGGACCACTCACAGCACAGAAGGCTCGAGTGAACGCTTCCTCATGTGTAACATAACACCTACCTCTTAGGCCTGTGCACTGGCTCAATAGAATTAACTTGCTTGCCTCGTACCAGGCAGTGTTCTAGAGGCCTGGGAACACCGAGGTGAACAAGCCTGGAGCCGACTGGGGCCGGGGTCAGAGGAGTTCAGGGCCCGGGCAGGTGTCCCAGCTCAGGTGGGAGCCGCAGGTCCCGCAGGCGTCCCTGTCCAGCCGCTCAGGACCGACCGGGCGGTGGCTGTGGTGGAGGGGATGTGAGGTCTTGGTTGGAGTGCCCGTGCTGCTCATCACCCCCGCATACCTGTTCCCTTCACTGTCCTCAGCCTTGCCCTCCATAAAATGGGCCTGTGACGGTGTCTGTTCCTAGGTTCCGCCTCCAAGGAACCTTGATCTTTTCAGACAGAAGGTAACTCGCCATTCTCTCTCTTCCCGGCGGTAACTCAGAGTACTGGGCTCGAGTTTACTGGGGGAACCAGACGGTGCTCCCAGGGGATTGGCTAGAGTCCCCCTGCTGCTGCTCAGTGGCTGAGCTGGGCCAGAAGTCCTGGGCTCACAGGTCAAGCTGCTCCTCCAGGTGCTTGGAAAAGGCAGCCTGAAGTCCGGGGGACTGTCCAGCAAGGCTCAGCCCTGCCAGCGGTCAGCAGCAGGGGCGATCTTTACAGGTCAGCGCTCAGAGGTCTTCCTCCCTTCCCTCTTATTTTCTACCCCAGTAACACTTTGTTCCTTGGGTGGATGGTCATCACGTGTCCTCTCCTCAGTGGAGGGAGCTGGGATGTTTCCAGTCTTTTGCTCTGACGAGGAAGGTGCAGGAAATAATAGGTACATGTGCCAAATGTAGAGGTGTTTCTATGGGGCGGACCCCCTGAACTGGGCCTGCTGAGTCAGAGGGTAAATGCATCTGTAATTTTGACAGATGTGATCTAGCTGTCTCCATCAGAAAGAAACCTGTATTCCCATCAAAGACAAATAAAAGTTCCTATTTCCACACAGCCCCAGAGTAAATTTCCAAACTCTGGTTTTTTGTGTCATTACTAAGACTGAGCACGTTTTCTTGTGTTTAAAACTACATTCATTTGTTTTGTGAAGGTCTAATGATGACTTTTGTGCTCTATCTGGCTGCTTTTCTTAATTTCTAGGGACCCTTGGGCTGTGCGGTGCAGCTTGTGGGATCTTAGTTCCCTAACCGGGGATTGAACCCGGGGCCCTCAGCAGTAAAGGCGCAGAGTCCAACCCAGTGGACCCCCAGGGACTTCCCTGGGTTCTCTTTATATGAAGGTGTGAGCCGCTCTGATGTGAGAACATTTATTCCAGGTGATTATTTTTCATTTTTACTTTATGTGCTTTCCTCTCATATATAGTGAAGATGTACATTCTCCCTCAATTTATTGATTTAACACAAACTATAAAATACCTTAGCAAGTATCTCATCATGGAAACTAGTCCAGTTTGGAAAAGCATGTAAAAATACAAAAGCCAAGGACAGTCAGGACAATCTTGAAGAACACAGAAGACTTCACCAGCAGGCATCCAGACTTCTTGTGAAGCTCCAGGACTTGGGGCAGTGGGGCGGGGCCAGGCACACAGCCAAGGAAAGGATGGGGTCCAGCCCAGACCCGCACAGGGTGACGGTCACGACTCTGACCAGCCTGCTGAGGGGATCCAGACCTAAAGAGCAGACCCTGCATCCTCCCACGTAAGTGCAGTCCAGCACAGGCACACGGGCATCGCACTTGTAACTGAGAGGCACTGCAGAGCAGGGGGGGGGACGCTCTCAGCGAACGGTCCAGGCCCACCTGTTACTCATTTGGGAAAAAAACCCATCCTGACTCCCACCTCACGCCGTAAGCAAAGATCAACTCCAGGAGGATATTAGATCTGAGTGTGAGAGTTTTAAACAACATTTCTAGGAGATTACAGAAGAATATTTTCATGAACTTGTAGTAAGCAAAGACTTCTTAGAACACAGTTCACTATACAAGTAGAGAAAATGTGATAAACTGGGTCTTTTAAAATGAACTTCTCCTCACCAAAATGACATTATGATCATACAAAAGGCAGGCGTGGAGAGAGGGTAAACACTTGCCACATATTTATTTGAAAAAAGTCTCTGACGTCTGTAATAAATCCCTTTATTTTGAAAAAGATGGATAACCCATAAGAAAATAGGCAAAAATTAGAGTAGGCATTTCACAACAAAGATAAATGGGAACAAACATGCCTAGATAGCCCACACTGTTATTAGGAACATGCAAAATAAAACCACAGTAAGACACCACTACACAGGCACCAGATTCACTGAAATAAGAAACCCTGACGGCACCAAGTGGAGGTGAGGGTGTGGAGCCGCTGGAATGCTCACCCTCAGCTGTCGGGGCGAGCCCGTAAAACTGCTGCAGAAAACCCGTCCGTCCCACCTCCTAAGGATGGACACAGAGACACCGCGACCCGGCCGCCCCGCTCGCTGGCAAACACCAAACACAGGTGTAAACGCGCATTCACCAGAAGACACGTTCCAGCATGTTCCGAGCCACGTAAGTTGACATACTGTGAAATCAGAACCCACACAGGCATGTCTAGTGGAATAGATTTTTTAAAAAGAGCAGGATACAAATATATGTTCGTGAAGTAAAAAGGTCTTTTGTGAGTGGACCACATCTTGCTACATAAAAACTGCCAGTCCTTAAAGGACAGATACTGGAGGAGCTCACTCAGATGCAGGACGGAGCGGTCAGGTTCATGGGGACCAGGAGCAGGACACAGGGTCTGCGTGGAAGGTGGGCGTTGCTGAGAGCGCTGGGAGAGAGCTCTCCAGGAGGGAGCCGGGGGGACACTGAGGCCAGGGACTCATGCGTGTCACAGCCAGCCTGGCTGGGATCTGACCTTTGACCTGATGAAGCCACCCGGAACATCGGCCAGAAACCATGACAACCTATCTCCTCACTGGCCCCTCACCCTAAAACAATTTGTGATTCCTCAAGGCCAGATGAAAACCTACCAACCACAGAAGGGAAAAACAGTGCTAACATGGGACTTCCTTCTACCAACGAGAGGGAGAAGGGGGCCCAGAAAATGCAGCATTTCAGACTGCACCAGGGTTTCATGACAATCAGCAGCTTCCTATTAGCACGGAGAAATGTTTTCAGTAACAGGGAACTGGCAAGTCCCCAGTGAATGCAGAGTGGCCTGAGGGGACAGGTGAAGGGGCTGCTGCGCCACCACTGGGCGGGGGGCTGTGCCTCTTGCTGGACGGGGCCCCAGGGGCCAGCCAAGGGGGTCCTGGCCCGCCCTTTACCAGCCCTGCCGGCGCCCAGAAGGGAACTTTGAACCCAGACGGGGACTCCAGTGGAGGAAGGAATTAGGAGGAAAGCTGGAGCTGGGCTGCCCCACAGACCCATGTGAGGTGCCCCCCCCCCAGTCCCCTCCCTGGTCAGGAGAGGTGGGGACCTGGCCTCATCCCAGCTGCAGGGGACTTGGGGGCAGCCGGGGCCATCCCAGGAGTTGTGCCGAGGCCTAGTGGGGCCTGGGTGTGTGTGTGTGAGAGGTAGGGTGGTGGGCTGGGCTGACCCCTCTTGGGTGGGGGGACAGAAAACTTCCATCTGTACCTGCGCCCCTCCCCAGCCCTCCCCGCAGCCCCTCATTCGGCAGAATTTCCTGGTGATGCGTGGGCACCACCACGAACCTCCGCTTCCTCAGGTCCACGGGCCAGCCCAGCCAGTGCTCTGGGGGGACAGCACTTGGCTGGGCTTGTGGTCCAGCAGGCTCCTGTTCAGGTGGCTGTGGCCGTGCCATGCCGCCTCCACACCGCCCACCGGGTCGGCCGACCTGGCCTGGGGACAGGCGGAGGTGAGCCCCCGACCAGGGCCCCGATGTAGTAGAAGTCGCCCTGGCCCCAGGGAATGTGCGCGGGGACCCAGGCGCTCGGAGGTGAGGGCCTGGTGGAGGCAGGGGGCAGGGTTGGTGTGCGGTAGAAGCCGGGGTGCAGGGACCCCAAGAGTGGGGCCAGGATCTCCACCCCCACTTGGGTCCCGGAAGCGCAGGTCCACGTGGGCGCCCACGAGGGCATCCACGTCGCCAGGGAAGCGCCGCCGCAGCAGTGGCCCCTGGACGCGTCCTGCCAGCGCGCGGGGCTGGGCGCCTGGAGCACTGCCAGCCCCCAGCTGGTCGGGGCAGACGTAGGTAGCAGTCGACTTTGTGTCCCTCCATGAAGTGCTTCTCCGCTGTCTCCAGGAAGAGCCGCAGGAGGACCACGGATCTGCGGAGCGCGGGGCAGGCGGGCGGAGTCAGGGAAGCCCCCACCCTGGGGGCGGGCGGGCCGCTGCTCCCTGCAGCCGTAGCAGCCCCCCAAGGCCAGCCCAAGCCGCCTGCGACCGCACCTTCCAACCTCGATGCCGCCACTGGCGCGGGTCCCGGCAGAGAGCCCGAGGCTCGGGCAGGGGAAAACCTGCCGATCCCCCGCGGTCTGCAGAGCTGGAGCTGGGGGGCTCCCAGGCGGGGCCCCTGTAGCTCCCCCTCCCCTGGGGCGATTCCCCTGTGGGCCCCTCCTCTGCGTGGCCTGAGCCGAGCCTCTGTGGCTGCAGCCCTGGTTTTCAAGCCCCGACAGACTGCTTGCAGCCAGGCGGCCTGGCCGCCTGCGCCACCCCTACCCCCAGCTTTAAGGGAGCTACTCCTGCCGCCCCACCCCCACCCCAGCCTGTCTCTACCCCTGGACGGTGCTCCCTGGAAGGCTGTGGGTGTCCTCCTGACAAGGTAAACTGCTGTGTTCCTGCGGAAGGGTCGCCCTACTGTGTCCCCGACTCAAGGGCAGATGACGTGCCCCTCCCCTCCCCCACTTATTCTTTGCTGGCAAACACGGTCAGCCCGACGGTGGCGCTCTGGAGCCGGAACTGCACATTCGGGATGTCGATGTTGAAGGTCCCCTCCCAGACCATGGGCGCCAGCCAAGGGGTCAGGGTTAGGACATCAGTCCTGCTGCTGGGCGAGAGAGCCCGTCCATGACGCCGTGTGAGCTGGCAGGAGGGCGGACACACCGGGACCCTGGCGCCCACACCCCAGCGGGACCCCCTCTGCCTCCGTCCCCTCGGTGCCCCCCACGGGCTGACCGTCCTTCCAGGAGGACTTGGCGTCTGCAGGAGACCCCCCCCCGATGCAAATCGAGACTCAAACTTGTGTAGATCATTCCAGGTTTTAGGGCTCACTGGGCCCTGCTGGACCTCACGTGTGTAGATCATTCCAGGTTTTAGGGATCACTGGGCCCTGCTGGATCTCACGTGGGAGCTGGACTTGCCAGCCAAGGTGGGGCGGTGGGGCGTCCCGCCCTGGAGGGAGGAGGCACCTCACACCTCTGCCCCTTCTTGGAGGACAAGGGCACAGGAAATAGAGTGTGCAGGCCACAGAGGGAGACAGGGCCCGAGGGCCCTAGCGGCTCCGCATTCAGATCTCAGGGAAACCCAAGAGGAAGGGTGTCTGGCAAAGCCAGCTCCACTAGAGATTTCCATGGGACTGCCCTCAACGCTCTGCTAAATCCCAGTAAATCCCCTCACGACGACGGGCATCTGCGCCTTGGGCTGGGGATAAGCCACTGGTGAGTCTGCGGGAGTGGGCGGGGCTGAAGGCACCTCTGGGCGGGGCCTCCCGTCACCCTGTCTGAGAAGGAGCGGAACTAGGCCTGGCCTCCCTTAATTTAGTGCAGGAGCGGCTTGGGGTCTGTCTTCCTTCTCCCTGGGCCGGGGGCTGGACATGGCCTCTGTCCTGGGCAGGTCCCCCTAGTGAGAGGTGCCCCTGGCCTGGCCTTCTCTGCAGGGTCACCGGCTGGGTGACAGGGGCAGGGCCCCTTGCTCCCAGAGCCAGGCCTCCTGCCTGCAAAGCGGGGACACGACGGTGACCTAGCTGCGACGGGCCTGGAGAACAGAGGCTGGCAGCCCTGCACATCCAGCGGCTGGGGACTGTGAGGGCCGAGGCCCCGCCCACGCCTGACGGGCCCTGGAGCCCAGGACCAATGAGCCCGTGGCCACGTGTCCTTGCCACAGGACTGCAGTGTGCTCCTGGCGTTTAGAGTGGGGCATCCACCTTAAAGGGGAAGGGAGCCTGCTCTATGCGGGCCCGCCGATGGACAGGATGCCAAGGGCAGTGAGTCAGCCGCAGAGGGACCAGCTCTGTCCCCTCATCCGAGGGGCCTGGAGGAGTCAAGCTCACAGACAGGAAGGGGCAGGGGGCCGGGGGCTGGGGGGAAGGCAAGTGTGTCCCAAGGGGCAGAGTTCCAGTTTGGGAGGACAAGATGTTCTGCGGGTGGATGGCGGTGACGGCCACAGAGCAGTGTGAATGGGCCCAGCGCCCTTGAACCATGCACTCGTGATGGTTAAGATGGTGAACTGTAGGTCACGCGTGTCTCACCATCATGTAAAAGGAAAAGAAGGGTGGCCACCTTGTCCTGGGTCGCCTGAGACTTTCTCAGTTTCAGGATGCGTAAAGGCCCAGGTGTTAGAACCCCCAGCTCCCAACCCAGGCTGTAGGGTACGGGAGTGAGAGAAGGCGAGGTTCGGAAAAAGAATGCGACCAGCACCTTACAGGAACGGGAACCTTTAATGAGGCGAGAAGGGGCAGCAGTCAGATTAGTGAGATGCCGCACTAACCCAAGGAAAGAGTATATAGAGGCATGTATGTGGAAATCTACGGTCTTAAGGGGGCCTGTTCTTCTCCAGGGTTGTTCGGATTAGTTATCGCTTAAATGGCTGGGGCAAGGAATTCTGGAGATCAGCCAGAGGCCGGGACCAGCTGGGAGCTGGGCATAATCAACCTTAATGTCCATTTTTTCCTTTGGGTGAGAGTTGTTTTTCATAGAATGGTGGGGAGGACCTGGAGGGGAGTTTTAACTCCAGGCTCTCTTGAGCTGTGTAACTTTCCTTCACAGTTCAGTTAGCACCCCCCTCTCTAAAGCCAAATGCCACGTAGCTGACCAAAACCAGCGCTGGCTGCACCTGGACTTCCTGTGGCTGCAGGAGGGAGCAGAGTCGGAGCTGGGACGTGGGGAAGGGAGCCTCAGGAGCCTCAGCTGAGCCTCAGGAGCAAAGAAGCCTGGCCCAGCATGTCCACCTCTCCCCCCCCCACACACACACACCCCGGCGCAGAAGGCAGGGGTCTGGCGGGAGTGGCACCAGATGAAGGCGTGGTACCCCGGGTTTCACCTACCCCAGAGTTCCACATACCCTGGAGTTTCACGTCTTGCAGACAGCAGAATGGGGGTGGGCAGAGGAGCAGGGAGGCTGCAGGAGGAGGGGGCCTCCCCCAGAGCGGCGGAGGGAAAGCAGAGCAGCGTGACCTGGAGAGACGGGGTGGGAAGAGGGGGTGGGGGGTCGCAAGTGACCCTGGAGGAGGAAGGCAGAAGGTCAGAAGGGGAGACAAGGCCGCAGCCAGACCCTGGGAGTCAGTCCTGCCCAGGGGAGCTGGCCGAGCTGCTGAGGGCAGAGGGGAGGAGGAGCAGGAGGGGCATCAGGGGCCCTGCAGGGCAGCGAGACCTGCCCTCTGTCACTCACCCCTGCTCTCTCGCCAGCTCCCCGGCATCGGGCGTCTCAGGCCCAGGAACCCCGTGCTGAGGGCAGAACCAGCCCAGGCCACTGTGCAGCGGAGTGGCCCCGGGACCCCCTGCCCATCCATCCCCGAGAAGGGTGGGCCTGCCGGCCTCGGGCAGGGCCAGGAACATTCTGCCCAAGGCTCGGGCGACATGTGGCAGGAGCGGCGGTCACTGTGGACGGTGCTCCCGTGTGTGGCCGGCTCGGCCCTGGGGTCTCCTTAGGGAACCATTCCTGGGGGGGTCTCCCACCCCCAGCGGGCGGCCCCAGGACCTTCTCCACCAGCAGGAGGCTCCCCAGACACAAGGTCAGGGTGTTCCTTGACCCCCTGCCCCTCCCCAGCTCCCCATTTGTGAAGTGCGGGGCTGGGGGGAGCACAGCTCCCGAGCAAGGAGAGGCTGCAATGAGAGGGTGAGCCTGGAGCCGGGTGGCCCAGGGGCTGGAGCCAGAACCTGCTGCCGCCACTCCTGTTACCATCGTGACGGGGTGAGGGCGATGGAGGGGTGCCGAGGGACAGCCCAGGGTGCCTGCCCCTTTAGGGTCTGCCTGCCTGCTACAGCCCCCCACTCCTCTGCCCCGGGCAAGCCTGGAAGCCCACCATGTGTCTCACCCAAACAAGATGACGCGTGTTACTAGGAGAGAGGTCTCAGGACGAAGCCAGGAGCAGTCGGGTTTTCCTAGGACAGAGAGGTGGGAAACCGGGTCACTGCAGCCTCCGCCTCCCATCAGGGCCCCTCTCTCCTCCGGATTCACACATCTGCTCTTACTGCTCTCTGTCCTCCCACCTCCACCCCCGACACAGCCCCTCCCCTTGCAGGGGCGTTTTAAGCGTCACGGAGCATCTCTGAAATCCAGTCCAAGGCTGGGTCCTCCTCTCACTCAGAGCGGGGACGGGGGGCTGCCCCTCCCCATCCCTCCCAACCCCCAAGTCACCCCAGCCTCCCGACGGCCTCTTCCCACAGAGCACCGTTTCCCTGGAGACCGAAACGTCCGCACTGCCAGGAGCCCCAGAGGACCGGGGCCAGCCCGCCGTCCAGGGGGCTGGACCCCACAAGCACAGCTGCTCCAGGAGCGAGTGCCCACCAACCTCCCAAGTACTTCACTGCCCGCGGCGCACACGCACCTGGAAACAGCCGCTGGCTGTCCTTTTACAGGGCTTTTCACGTTTACGAGTGAGGTATTCCAGCCGTCAAGAGTTCAAGCATCACTACAGGTCTTAGGTCTGAACAGGGCACCTTCGTGCCCCCACCCCTTCCTTCCTCTCCCCTCAAAGAATTCACTCTTACTTATCCGATCCTGTAGCGTGTGTCTGCGTTTGCCTCCGCGTTTTAAAACCCGATGCCCATGGAAAAGTTCTCTCTGATACCTCCCTAGAACCAAGGAAGCTGGGAGTTAAAATGCGAGCCTTTACATGTCTTTAGTGTATTTTTTCCCCCGTTTTTGTAGTTTCTAAATAGTTTGAAAGGACATCTAGGCAGGAAATAATTTCCCTTCAATTTTGAGAAAAATTGTTCCATTTCTGTTAACTTTCTAAATCACTTTCGCTCGAGGTATAATTTACATCCAATAAAAGAAACCCATTTGAGGTACAGGGGTTGAAGAATTTTAAGCAGCACGTTACAGGGGGTGGAGAGGGATAAACTAGGAGCTTGGGATTAGCAAATACAAACTGCTATCTTTAAAATACACAAACAGGGTCCTACAGTCAATATCGTATAGTGTACCATAACAGAAAGGAATGAAGAAACGAAACAAGATATATACCCTGTAACTGTCACCGTGCCAAGATTCACGGCTCCCCATCACCCCAACAACTTCCCTCCTGCCCCTTTGCAGTCAGCCACCACAGCCCCTGCCCCGGGCAACCATGATCTGCTTTCCATCAACAGAGAATTCCCTCTCAAGCAGTTCATATACATGGAATCATGTGATACGTACTGTTTCTCCTGGTTTCATTCCCCCAGGGTGAGGAATGAAGATTCACTCATGTCGTCATGTGTATCAAGAGTTCATCCTCCTGTTAGGTTTTTAAAGTATCTTTGATATTAATTTCTCATTTTGGCATTAATTTCTCACCGAAACGCTTTCTTCTCTGCAATCACGCTTTGTGGTTTTTCGGTCTTCTAACTTTACTGAGGCTTTCAATGGCTAAGTCAAAGATCTGTCTTGGTAGATGTCACGCAGCACTTGAAAATATGTGGGGTATTTTCAAATATCTTTTGATATTGAGTTCTAACATAATTTCACAGTGATAAGAGAACAGACTCTGTATGAATTCAGTATACCTGTAGGCCATGAAATTGTTGCACTTTGTTCTATGTCCCTGAATATGTTCCAGTGTCTCCTAGTTTGTAGTCTGCGAGAACTTGAATAGAATTTGTATCCTACTGTTGTGTGAAAATCATATAAATCTAAATTATGCTGAGTTGGTTCATGGTGCTTTTCAGGTCTACTCTATCCTATTTTTCTGTCTATTCATTCTTTTAATTTTGGAGAGTTTGATATTGAAACTCCAACTAAAATATATTAATTTACATACTTAAAAATAATTGTAGTATCTATGCAACTCTGTACTGTGTTTTCCCAGTCTCCTGTAAATGTGCTATCCTGTGTATATGTGTGTGTGCGCCCAGTCGTATCCGACTTTGCGACCCCATGGACTGTAGCTCGCAAGGTTTCTTTGTCCATGAATTTTCCAGCCAAGAATACTGGAATGGGTTGCTATTTCCTTCTCCAAAATGTGTCATCATACTTTCAAAATTTGAAAGAGAGCCCATCCCCCTGTTGATGCCACGATTGTTTATCCTTCTCCTACTGTTGGGTATTTTGGTCCCCTCCCCCCCCCACACACACACACTTGAGCCTACTTCAAAGCTTCTACAAACATCTGGCACAGGTATTCTGTGGACATATGTTTTCAATCCCCTAAGTAAACACTTAGGAGTATAAAGAATGGATCACATGTTAAGTGTATGTTTAACTTAGTAAAAAAAACTGCTGAATTCTTTTCCAAAGTGGTTGTCGAGTTTTCCATTCCCACAGGCATACACAGGAAGTCCAGTTTCTCCCTGTTCTTGTCAACACTTAATAGCTGATCGTTTTAGTTTAAGTCATTCTAGAGGGCACACAGTGGCCTCTCACTGTGGCCTATGACTAACGTAAATGGCTCACTAGAAAATTTCTATTTAGTACAAAAGGAGATGGTAAAGGAGGAACAGAAGAATAAAAAGATATGAAACATCCAGAAAACAAGTAGTTAAATGGCACATAGGAATCTGATCGCAACAATAATAACTCTGAATGTGAAAAGATTAAACACTCTAATGAAAATGCAGAGAGACTCGATTTAAGAGAAGACTTCCACTATGAGCTGTCTACGAGACATATTCCAGGGGGAAAATAAAGACACAAATAGGTCATAAGTAGACGGACAATGAAAGACCTACCTTGCAAACTGTAACAGTAAACAGAGATGAATTAGCAATAGTAAGTTCAGATAAAATAGACTTTAAGATAAAAATGCTACTTCAGACATTTTACAATGATAAAAGGGCAAACTCACATAACAAATATGAAGATACATTCACCTAGAAACCTAGCTCCCCAAACTGATAGAATGGAAAGGCAAAATAGTCAATTCAACAACATTAGCTGGAGACTTCCAATCAACAGACACAGAAGACTTGAACATTATAAATCCATTAGACCTAACTGACATGTGTACAACATTTCACCCAACAACAACAGAATACAACTTCTTCTCAAATGCACACGAAA